AAGCCCCACTGATCACCGAATCCTCACACTTTCTTCCACAGTCACCACTAAGCAGCTAGGACGCCTATCTGAACCTTCAAGTGAGGGGAAAAAAAATGTTAGTTGAAGCATGTTAAGTAAGTCATCAAAATGGTTCAGACTGAACTAATTATTAGTCTGATGCGGAAGCGTATAAGGAGAACTCCAATCCCTCCTGAATCTGAAGTAGAGCAGAACTAAAAAAGGGCCGTTTCAATTCCCCGAGCCAAGTACCAGATGATTTCCCCAGGCCTGCGWGTGCCCCTTACAAGGCATGTGAACACTTGGTTATTTTATTCCCCTTTCCCCCGCTGTTACCACAACCATCACATGCCCCTCACACAAACACACCGCCGCACTCCACTCAAAGCAGCTAAACAAGATCTTAACACGGCCCACTTTATCTGCTGAACGCACTTCTCTCCTTTTTCTCAGTATCAGAAGCAGAGCTCCAGCTTTCACGCTGACTTTACAACTACAAAGAAGTCAAGAATGATTAAGACATTTCTTAGCATACTTCCCCAAAATTGTGCTTTAACTGCACACCATCAAGTAATGCAACAAGAAATTACAAACGTCTCACTTGGTGCAAAGAAGCCTTGGTAAAATGAACTTGGTTCTGCATATTCTTATTGTCACTATTAACTGCCCACAAATGTTTGCAGTTAAGCTTCCAAAGTCCTCTCCTCTATACAAGCACCTTTATAACTAAATTACATTATTACAGTAAGCATTCCTAARTCTTCATGCATTTAAAGGCAGATTTATACGGAAAAATCCTTAATGAGTGGCCTAATCCAGGCAAAGGCCCAAACACCTATTACACACTGTTCCAAAAATGGTGACTCAGAATTAGAAAATATTTCTGAGATATGAATAAAATTGCTAATATATTACCATTACAGTAAGAGAAAATCCTGTTAAGACATAAGATATGTAATGACAGATGAAAGGAAAAAGAGTATTTTCATTTGAAGCGCAACCAAAATTTRAAGAAATAAAAGTGGAAAAAGAAACAAACTGAAAACCAAAGCAAGYTGACTTTTTGTAACTTTATACATTGTTACTGTAATAGATTACTTTGAATTTTTCCCACTCTCACTGCAAAATATTATCAACATACRGGTCCTACATATTCCCTTCTTCTATGGACTATCCTGTGATTCATGCAAAAAATATTCCAGATCACCTATAGCTATTCTTTTCACTCTAACTCAAGAAAAAAATATATACCTAAAACTAAAAGATCTGCAATCTAAAATTATTACTTTTTCAATTATTCTGTACCTAGAGAGTGCATTATGCTATTACCGTCTCATTAAAAATTACTTAAATTATGTTTTGAGGAACTTTTCTTGTGCAGTCTAGTGCTTTTTTACCAGTTTACACTGATAGGAAACAAAGCACTTCTGAAGCTTATATATACACATAAAAATACAAATCCTTTATCCAACGTGCTTCACCTGTTTTTTTAAGAGTTAAAAAATATACTGATTTTTTAAGTAAATTTTAAAATATACAACTATTCAAATTGTTATATTTCAAGATTAAAAAACAGTCATTAGTTAACCAATCAACATCAACACAGTGGTTGATGCAGTAACAAAACCATCATAATGCAAGGCACACTGAAACACCAGAGACAATTAATGTATAGCTTCTGAGAGATTATACATGCTGACAGTATGATGATAACATATGCTGACCAAGTGCACAAACATCAATCCTCTACTCCTGTTTTTCCCCCTCAAAATTTTTGTTTTGCAAGAGACTAGAGAATCACCAATAATTCCTGAATATCCAGAAGGGCTTTACTGGCCAGTAAAGGTTACTAAAGAATTAAATATGCAAAGCATGAACCCTTCAGAAGTGAGATTGCTTCATTCTACCCATTTTTATTACTGGAGCACAAATACAGTACTTTTTTTTTCCCCCTTGTTGAAAGAACTTCACCTTGGTCTTTAATGTTAGACAAGTTCCTTATACCTCCATCTATACATTTTTTACACAACCCATCTGTTTTACAGCACAGGTGGCCAAACAACTATTTCCTGAGACTATACACTGGTCCACTGCGGTCCTCCGTGCCATCTGTTTGTGAATTTGGGGTCACATCATGAAAAGGAAAAGACTTGCCAAAGGGAAGACAAACTTGATCTTTGAAAAATTATCTCCTGAGACTAGCAGAGGGCGGCAGAAGGACCACATCTTCCCAAGAACAGACAATCCCTCTGCAGTGCCCACGAAACAGGCAGGCAAAGCTCAAGGAACACGGCTGGGGTTGCAGAAGTGTCCTGGGCGCTCCGGTCCTGCTGGACAGCTCCAGAGGAGCTCGGCCAGGCCGGGAAGCCTCCCCTCCCGGATTTAGTCCCATCTGCACACGTAGGATTCTTGGCAGGAATGCGAAATGCAAGCAGCAAAGCAAAGAGGACTTWTATGGCTCAAGATCAAACTGTGAAGGAAAAGGAGTTAGTTTATTAAAATTATCTTAAAGTAATTCCAATGCCTGTGTGCTTGACAGGACGGAAAGCAATACAAATGCTGGTGGATACTGCTTTACATGCTTTAGGGAAGTTACTAAACCATCCAATTGTATATGTAACAGAAGTCTCATGTCAAAGTTCTGTTTCCTTTGCAAATGTAGAGAAAGAATATTTGAATTTGGATATTTACATCAACAGTATTTGAAAAAAGAAAACACGGGTAAATTGAACAAAAGAGGGAAATATGTCTAATTACAACAGACAGACCACTTAATACCACCGACAACAATAATAAAAGTCAAATAATTTTCAYGGACAAAATAAACCTGCAGCAGCATTTTCTGATCTTAAATTATGTTCGTTTTCCGAACATAATTCCGAACATTTGACAGCAAATTTTACATTTAATGAAAACCACAATTTATTAAGTAATCTACTTAGGCTTCCATTAATACTCACTACCCAAATGCTTTAAACTCAGAGAAAATCTCTCCTGGAGTTTACAAAGAGAAGATATAAGATGACTAGCAGCATCAGTGGTCATGATTACTACATCCCTACTCATGTAACTTGCTAATTGGGCTTCAGAGCTGMAGCTTGGTTGATGACCACCCTCCCTCAGCCACAAACCCCACTAACTTTCTGCACCTGAGCTATGAAGGAAAGCACATTAACTCATCAGAAAACAGATTTCTTGGCATTTATGGAAGACTGAAAGATTATCTACACTTTTTGACATAAGCAACAGAGAGATAAAATCTATGTTGAAAGACAAAACATATTACAAAGCTGTTACTCTTCAGGTATTCACTGATAACAGACAATTAAATAAAGCACACAACCACCCTGTAAACTTAGGGCATCTCTATGTTGGTTTTCCAGCACTTTGCATCTACAACCCTAATTTAGCAACACAAAGCACCAAAAAACAGCAGGAAAAAACCTAAGTTGCAGCATCTTCCCGTTCATTTAAGGGCTGTGAACAACAACTAAAGGAGGGATGAAAGAAAAATGATCACTTATACATTCAAAAAACTTATCTTGCTGAAAACCTCATCTCCAAACCCCAGGCTACCCACAGTGCAGGTTCCACAGAGCCAGCAGCAGACAAGTTTCTCCAAAGTATTTTTAGCACCACAGAGCACAGCCTTAAACCATAAGCCTCAGAGCACAGAAACGCACTCAAAAAATCATCTTTTCTTTCTATATTTTGCATATTGTAGATAATTCTCCCTTCAACCGCATCTTCTATCTCCCAATCTTCCTCACTCCCAAAACATGGTTTATTTGTAATTACTAGCGCTAACTCATTAATGCCAATGAATTTGACATCTATTTCTTAAGAGTTTGGGGTCACATTAGGACTCTACCATTTTACGTGAAACGCAAACAAAAATGTAAACAGAGATCTCAAGTAGCCTGAAACTAATCAATGCCATAAATGCTAAAAATGTATCCTAAGAAATTATGTTTAAAATAATAGTTTTCATTTAAATGTGGTTGATAAGATCCCAAAATTTGAACAGGCAAAATGCTGACACATTTTAGAAGGAAAATTAAGAACCTCTTGGCACCTTGCAAATTTGCATTTTTTTGAGAGCTTAATTTACCAGTGAAATGGCTGAAGCATCACCAGTCAGCCACTGGGTGAATGTGGCCTACAAGTTTTTACTTCCATAATAGCAAGTTAATAAGGTATCTAAATACATATTTAACATTTCCATTTCCTTCTGACAAACTAATATGAGACTATCAGACAGACATTAGCTATAAGAATCATGTCTTTTAGCGCTGATGTAAGAAGATGTACGCAATTTATGTAATTTTTTTAAGCTTTACGGCATGGGAGTGAGTATTATGCATACAGAGCTCTGCAGCAATGACTCTCAGCACACATTACATGAAAACTAATGGATCAATACAAAAAATAAAGAAGATAAAAGTGTTTKGCTTTGCTTTCTGTGTCATACAGCGACAGCGAGGCACGGATGGCTTTCACCTTGCTCTCCAAGGGAGAAACGGCTTCATCAGTGCGATATACTCCAGTAATAAAGTCAACTGCATTGTGTCACCACGCGCCTAACAGCGAGAGCCTGATAAAGCACAAAAGCAAGCGTGAAGCGTTATCTGCAGATTCACTGCCTATGTTTCATCCAGCCACAGCCAAAGAGAATATCAGAAGAACTACCTGACCGGAATCCTTAATTCGAGAAGCAGAAAATACTGCACAAATAMATAAAATTATGCTCCCTTCGCAAGTTCCTTGTTTGAAAGCCCAGATTCACTCTCCATTGGCAATACATCATTAGGCACATAATAACCTGAGCAGTTACAAAGTATTTTTTGAAAAAATAAGCAGAACAATATAAAGAACAGGAAGAAGAAAAAGAAGGAAAAAAAAAAAAAAAAAGAAAATCTGTGATCCGTGATCCCTCAAGCTAAGAACAGTCATCATGAATCATATTTTGCACATATAAATAACTTTCCTTTAGAATTCACCTTTCCAAGCCTTTTTCTGGGAATATTTTATAGCTCACAGAGGACGCAAGCCCCTAAAATGCCGTGGTTCTCCCAAGGCAGGAATGCGCATGTGGGTGGGAGGAGGCGAAAGCCGGGATTTCCACCCCCCAAGCAGGAGGTTCCCAGAGAAGACACAATGCCTATAATTTTTCCAGCGCTGCGTTACAAGCGGATGCACAAAAACGCACAGCGAGCGGAGAAGACCCTTCACGCTGCAGAGACGGGGCACCCCGAGAGCCAATTCCACCCGCACCCCACAACCAGACCCCTCAGTAATCGGCCACCCTTATGATCCAGAAGTGGCAGCGAGACGCAGGAACATCCCACCTTCCCCCCCAGAGGCTCCCTATTCCCTCTCYTCTGGCTCCATCTCCTTCCCGAGCAAAATCCCACTCCCAATTTTTCCTTTCCTGGTCGCCTCCCCACACGGACAGCCCTCCCTCCACGTCCCCCTGTCGCTCTGCCCCTTCCCCCTGTCCCCACGAGCCCCCTCCCCGCTCTGCAGCTCCCCGCAGCTCCTCCCAGCCCTTCTCCTGCCCCATTCCGTGCCCCACCGCCTCCCCACATCTTCCTCCCCGCTCGGCTCCCCCTATTCTGCCCACGAGCCCTGCGCTCCCCTTGGCACCAAGGCAAAGACCCCCCCCCGGCGCTCCCCCCACGCCTTTCCCTGCCCTCACCCTCCGTGTTCCCCACATCTCACCCCAGGCCTGGCCCCTTCCCTTCAGCCCCCCACATCCCACCCACAATGGCAGCCCCATCCCCGTACCCCTCCCTCAGCCCCCCAACAAGGCCCCAGGCCCGAATTCCTCCTCTCAGCCCCCAATATCCCCCCACCTCCCATATTCCCCATTCTCCCAGGCCTGACCCCCTTCCCTCTCAGGCCCTCTACATTGCCCCACATACCCCCAGACCTGACCCCTCTCCTCAGCCCCCCAATATCCCCTCAGTGATCCCCCCCAGGCCTGACCTCCCTCACTCTGACCCCC